AAAAAAAAAAAAAAAAGAGAGAGAATTGAGAACTGAGCCTTGGAGCTTACCAGCATTTTAAAAGGAGATCCGAGGAGGGGCCATCAAAAAACATTGAGAAAGAGCAGTAGTGAGATTGGAGATTAGCCAGGAGAGTGTGGCATCCTGAAACTAGGTGAAGAAAGTATTTCAGGAAGGCAAGAGAGTAGTAATCACCTGTGTTATTTGCTGCTGAAAGGTAAGATGAGGACTGAGAATTGGTCATTGTGTTGGGTGAGGTTCGGCATCATTAACAAATGTGGTTTCAGTGAGATATGAAGACAGCCATCTAGTTGGAGTGAGTCAAACAGTTTCAATTGGGTAGTAGATTAATATAACCTGAAAACCCTTCTGCTACAAATATCTAGAAAGGAGAGGGGAAATAGAAGCAAAAAATGTTTTTCAAGCACATAATCAAGCTTAAAAAGAAAGAAAGTGAAATCCTCAAGTGCCAGAGACCAAGTGGGAACTGAAAATCAGAGTGGTAAGTAGACACCATGGCTGCCTTTGGAGAGGGTGGGAATGATCGTTTTGAGAACTTGGGGACTTCAGTTTAAGGAGGTACTGGGGATGGGGGGGATGAGTCTTTGGGCTTTTCTGAGCTGAGGTTTGGTCTGGAGACCTTATTTATGAAGTCTGGACCTGGGCTGCACCTTCAGTGAACAGGTAGACTAGGAAAAAAATATGCACACTGGCACTGGGGGATATTAAGGAATCTTAATTCTTGTGGGTTGACTGTGGGTAAGTGGTGGGAAAAATGTCTTAGGACTGCAAATGGACACAAGGGATCTTGGGGAATGAAAATGTGCTAAAATTAGATTCTGGTGATGGTTGCAGAACTCTATAAATTTACTAAAAATCATTGAATTGTACACATAAAAGGAATGGATCTAACGGTATGGAAATTGTATTTCAAAGCTTTTTAAAAAAATGTCATCTTGGGTGAAAATACCGTTGGAGTATCTTACAGAAGCAAATGTGAAACAACCACACTCCGTCAACTCAGGCTATAAAGGATTCTCAGAGAGAAAAAAAAAACTGATTAGACTAACTAGAGACTATTAGAGGAGAGCAGATCGTGGACTAGTACCTGAAAGCATTAAGGGAATACAATTGTCAATGTAGAATTATGTACCTAGCTGAGAGAAAGCACAAATAAAGACATTTACAGACAGACTCAGAGTTTACCATGTATGTATAGACCTTGGTTGAGAAAATTATTAAGGGATAGACTAAAGAAAAAAAGGAAAATAAACCCAGAAAGAAGGATCTTTAAAAAGAAAGGGAAATAGGAACTAAAGATGTATTGGTAGAGCATAGACCATTCTTTTGTAATGTTTAGCTAAAGGAGGAGCAAAAGCTTGAGGGTGGTATGAGGTTTTAGGGCAGTTTTATTTGGCTGGATTTTTATTTATTTTTTTTAAAGATTTTATTTATTTATTTGAGAGAGCATGTGAGAGAGAGAGCACAAGCAGGGGGGAGGGTTAGAGGGAGAAGCAGACTCCTTGCTGAGCAGGGAGCCCAATGCGGGACTCAAACCCAGGACCATGGGATCATGACCTGAGCTGAAGGCAGACGCTTCACCGATTGGGCCACCCAGATTCCCAGGCTGGATTTTTAGAAACAACTTAAATGAGATATAACTCACATCCCATTCAGTTCGCCCATTTAAAGTGTACAATTCAATGGTTTTTAGTATATTCACAGATATGTGCAACCATCACCACAGTTTGAGAACATTTTCATCACCTCAAGAAGAAACACCATATCCTTTAGCTCAGTAGCTACTATTATTTAGCTAGTCCTTCAATCCCCCTCAGCCCTAAGCAACCACTATAGTAGTTTCCCTTTCCGCAATCCGTAAGCAGATGATCCTCTTTCTGATGTACTATCAGAGGGTCAGTAGTAACTTCCTCACAAAGCCTTCATCATTCACTCCCTTTGTCTCATCACGTAGGCATTTTATCATCTCATTATCAGGAGAAGAAGGGTGAGTATAGTACAATAAAATAGAACATATTAAAAAGCTATTCAACTTCATAAATAATGAGAAAAGTACAAGTCAAAAAGCATAACAAGGGGCGCCTGGGTGGCTCAATTGTTAAGCGTCTGCCTTCGGCTCAGGTCATGGTCCCAGGGTCCTGGGATCGAGCCCCACATCGGGCTCCCTGCTCGGCAGGAAACCTGCTTCTCCCTCTCCCACTCCCCCTGCTTGTGTTTCTGCTCTCGCTATCACTCTCTCTCTCTCTCTGTCAAATAAATAAATAAAATCTTAAAAAAAAAATAACAAGATTCTACTATGTATCCATCAAAGTGGCAAAATTAAAAAGTCTGATAGTCCCAAGTATTGCTGAGGAAAAGGAGTAGTAGGAACTCTTATCCGCTGGTGGTCAGATGCAAATTAGAACAACTACTTCAGGGAAATAATTTGGAATTACTTGTTAAAATCAAAGCTATACATACCTTCTGATCTGGCAATTCACTCATAGATATATGCCTTAGAAAGATTCATGTATATATAAACAAGTATATGAGTGTTCATAGCAACGTCGTCTATAATATTAAAAAATTAGAAAAACTTAAATATCCATCTACATTAAAATACTTAAGTAAATTATAACATTTATTTAGTGGAATAACATTTAGTGATGAAAGGCAGTGCAAGTATAGATGAATTTCATAATTGTGGTTGAACAAAAGAAGCCAAACCCAAGGAGTATGTATGATGTGATTCTATTTACAAAAGTTTAAAAAAGTCACAGAACTGAACTATGGTTTGTTGTTGTTGTTGTTTTAGAGAGGGAGGAGGGAGGGACAGAGGGAGAGAGAGAATCTCTCTGCCCTGAGCAGGGCCTGACCCTGGGGCTCCATCTCAAAACCCTAAGATCAAGACCTGAGCAGAAATCAAGAGTCAGACGCTTAACCAACTGAGCCACCCAGGCGCCCCTGAACTATGTTGTTTTAAAGACAAGGAAATGATTATTAGGACGTTAAGAAAGTAGTTACCTCTGGGAGAAGAAAGAGGGCTGTGATGGAGGAGAGGCACACGAGGCCTTTGGGTGCTAGTGTGTTCTATTTCTTGACTTGGTTTTTAGTTACATTGGTGTTTGTATAATTATTGAATACATATCTGTTTTATGTATTATTTCTATTTCTACTATATTTTACAATTAAAAAGTAAAGTACCTTGAACTAAGATCAAGTTTGGGCTCTAGTTCTAGCTTGGTTTTCTACTTATACTCTTCATGTCTTACTTTTCTATCTGCTCTGCCCTCATTTTGCTGTGAGGATTAAATTAAAGCACTTAGAGATGCTTTGTAAGCTGTAAGGCTATTTACAGACAATATTACTAGGGCATGTGGTGGAGTAACAGTGGGTAGTTGGTAGTATTATCCATATTAATGGAGTAGTAACCATGGAATATAATTATTCTGACAAGGGTTTGTGAGCATTGGCCATGGAGCTAACAGTATGTTAGGTGGTGTGGAAAACAAAAAATGCAAAGCCCAACAAAGAGCTTAGGGAGGTGTAAGGTTCACTAGCATAACACTCAGAAAATAGTAGTTGAATGAATGAATGAGTGAAAAGTGTTAAACTGCAACACTGATAGGAACTAACCAAATATAATAAAGTACAAGTTATTTAGTAGAGACAAAATAAGCAGAAAGGATAAATCAGAATTTCAGTGTAACTGACTGTTGTGAAGATTTTGATTCATTCATGAAATCCCATGTGGAGCTTGTTATGTATAATAATCTATGTTGTAGATTTCTACAGTAATATCACCATAGAACACCAGTGCAGTTACTTGCTGATATGTAATGATACTGGAATGATTTTGTATTTATATTTTAATGTGCCATCTAATACCATGGGAATGTCCAGTGTAGCTATCCAAGTAATGAGGCTTTTGCTAGATAAACCCAGCTAGAAGGCTATCTGGTTTATGTCCTATTTCTCTAGTCCCTTTCTGGTAGAGTTGGCATCATCTTTCTGACTAGTACAGAATGTCAAACTCAGCTGACCTACTCTGCTCTTAACACCTTTGCCAGGATAAAGTAGTCAAGTACTTTGGTTTAAAAGTTAAACAATCAAACTACATTTGTTTGATCCCACATTTGTTAAGTGCCTGTTGTGTTAATGCTTCTGCACGCTTTCCCTTTCAACTTCTTCAGGGCTTCTACTTAGAATACTGAGATGTTTTGTTTGTTTGTTTATTGAGGTGGTTTTTCAACAAAGGATTAAGTCAGAGGAGGTGATAATCTAGTACATATTTGAGGGTGCTTGGCATATGTTTGTGGAGTGAACCTAATGGAAAACAAGATTTGCCATGAATAATCATAGTGTAGATCATCAGGAACATAATATATCTACAAGTATACAAAAGTACAAAGCCATAAAAGAGCCCAGGCTGACAGTAAGATGCTATAGAACAGTACAGTTCTTTGGTTTTTTTTTAAAGATTTTATTTATTTATATGACAGAGAGAGACAGGGAGAACAGGAACACAAGCAGGGGGAGTGAGAGAGGGAGAAGCAGGCTTCCCGCTGAGCAGAGAGCCCAATGTGGGGCTTGATCCCAGGACCCTGGGATCATGACCTGAGCTGAAAGCAGACGCTTAACGACTGAGCCACCCAGGCGCCCTAACAGTACAGTTTCTTGTATGATGTGGAGCTCCTGCCAGCTTTGAAGAGTGTCCCAGCCTGCTTGTCACCTCCACCTTCCTTGTCTTCACAGGTTTCCTGGGTCTCAGCCTTTTGGGTCAGTCCCACTGGCCCCTGTGGTCAGCCAGCCAACTGTGCTTCAGCCCTATGGCCCTCCCCCGACAAGTGCACAGGTGACTGCTCAGCTGGCCGGAATGCAGATCAGTGGTGCTGTGGCCCCAGCCCTTACCCCTGTGGGGCTGGGCTATGGTGAGTAGCTATGATCACAGGAATGTTACTATCCCCTTCTTCTTAGAAGCATCAGACTCTGGGGTATACCTGCATCCCTCTTATGTCTTGTGCTTCTGAGTGCCAGCAGATGGGACAATCATTCCTGCCCCTCGTGTGGAAAAGGAGTGATTTATTGAACAAGAAGGCAGAATGACTAGGGATCTGACTCTACCTCTTCTAATTCTCAGGCCCACCAACATCGCTGGCCTCAGCCTCAGGAAGTTTCCCCAACTCTGGTCTGTATGGCTCCTATCCTCAGGGCCAGACTCCCCCCCTTAGCCAGGCCCAGGGTCATCTTGGGACCCAGCCTCCCCAGCGATCAGCCCCACCACAGGCCTCCAGCTTCACATCTCCAGCATCAGGGGGTCCTCGGATGCCTTCGATGACTGGTCCACTCCTGCCTGGACAGGGTTTTGGGGGGCCCTCAGTGAGCCAGCCCAACCATGTGTCCTCACCTCCTCCTCAAGCTCTGCCTCCTGGCACCCAAATGACTGGGCCCCCAGGACCACCACCACCTATGCACTCCTCCCAGCAGCCAGGCTATCAGCTGCAACCAAATGGTGAGTTTTTCCCGAAGTCTGACTAGGAGCCAAAGGCTTCAGCTATTCAGGTGTTTTTGTTTGTTTGTTTGCTTGCTTTTAGTATTGCTTGCTAAGTGATGAACTAGATGGATAACTTTAGGGTATTATTACTAGGATGTAGGGTTTATAAGACATTCTTTTTTCTTTTAGTTCAGATAGTGTGGTCTTTCTCTGAATGGTTATTACCTCGTAATTCTACACTTACAGGAGTCTAGTCATTTTCCTGGGGCCTTAAGAGATAGGGAGGGGATTTTGAATTTATCAACCTTGTGCCCTTGTCTCTCAGGTTCCTTTGGACCAGCCCGGGGCCCTCAGCCCAATTATGGAAGTCCCTACCCAGGAGCACCCACCTTTGGCAGTCAGCCTGGGCCTCCTCAACCACTGCCTCCTAAGCGCCTGGATCCTGATGCCATCCCAAGCCCTGTAAGTAGATACTTATGTGGTCCTAGGGAAGGAGTTTGTGGCTGCCAGATAAGTGAGTTAACCTAGATGAGATGTTTGCCTAGCATTTTCTGATTATTTTCCCTTTTCATTCATCCTGTAGGTGTAGAACCTAGATGTAATTTTTGATGCTTTGAACTGGAACTTGAGGCCCCAGAAATCTTTTGGGGGCACTTTTACTCCATAGCTGGGCAGGGAAGGAAGGGAAGCCAAGAGTGTTCAGTAGTGTCGGTAGAGCTTGGGGTTGAGTGCTGTGTTCTGTCACTATTGGACATAGCATGGTAACCTCTGCCCTTGGAGTAGGAGCTGGGTCCAGGTCTTGTCCTCTTAGATTTGGTAGGATGGCAGTCTTTTTAATGGGTAGAGCTGGTGGGAATTCTCTGAGGGTAGGTGTTAAGAGAAGGAAAGTCTCACTGGTTTCTCTCTGCCCCTAGTTGGACAGTGTTTTAGGAGGAAACCTCCAGTACTTTGGTTGGCTAGAATCCTGCTGTGTAGATGAGGAAAAGTGATCTACAGTTTTTAGGGGCAATGTGGGGAAGCTGCTTTTCCCAGGAAGAGAGTGAATCTCAGCCTTGGAGCCATCATTAGAACGCTCAGGCCTTCCTTATCCTAGTTGGAATAGAAGTTGGGACTGTACTCCTAAGTGGGGGCTACTTTATAGTTCTGTCTACATTTGCTATGTCAGTTACCTCACCATGCTTAGCCATTGTCATATTCCATTCTGTTCTCTTCCCTCTTCCTTTGGGGAATTACCATGGTGAAGGACCCTGTTAGCTAAGAGGAACCCTAGAGGATTAAGCAGACTCTCCTTCAGGGAAAAGGAGAGTCTGGTCCGATGTGAAGAAAGGCTTCCTTAAGCATAAGCACGGTCCTTAGATGGGAGGTTTGGCCTTTTGGAGGGAACATCCCTCTTCCTCCTCCTTAAGATTTCTCCCATTCAGCCCCTCCCTGTAAAACTCCTGCTTGCTTCCTATTTTCCCCCTTATCTTTCTACGTCATAGTCTGAGCCATTTAAGCCTCTGTGTTGGGCCAGAGAGTCTTGGAATTTCTGACCTAGAGAGGGCCTGATTTCAGCAATATGAGCTGGGCTCCAGCTATTCATGTCTAACTCATCAGGGTCGAGAGAAGTAACATCTGCTTCTTGTTCTTTTGTCTCCCTCCCTGTATTCCCCTGCTGCCTTTATTATTAAAACACTAAAAGCAACTCAATGAGCTGCCTCCTCAGCAGAAAACCAGGCACAGAATAGACCCTGATGCCATTCCTAGTCCAGTAAGTGCAGGGGGTGGTGTGTGTGTGCGTGTCATCCCTGTGTTAATGCCACCCATGCATGCCTGTGACCTCATCTTCACCTCATCCACCATGTTCATCCCTCTCCATCCTCTTCCCTTAGTCCTTCTAGATCCTCGCTTTTACAAACCAGAAGGATGTGCATGTCTCAAGTCACCATGTAATGAAATGACAAGCTGTTAGCAGTGCCTTGAGTATGGGGTGGTAGATCAGGCTCTAAGGGTGGGGTCAGGTGGCATGTTAAGCTTTGGTTTTAGTCCTGCTGGGTCCTCCAGGAGTCTGCATGTGACATTTGATAGAACAGGACAAAGTGGAGTGGTAGGTTCTTCCCCTTTGGGATTGATTTGTCTATAGCTTGTGGAGAAACTTTGGGTAGGTGACTACTAATGTACAAGTTTGGGGTACTGGCATTTCTCACAGGGGAAGAGACTGCTGCTTTGGGAAAGTGTGAGCCACTCTTTCATCGGGAGAGTCTGTTTGACTCTGATATATTTTAAGCTTCAACTCTTTCTGCTATGGGATATGGAGTCTTATTCTCCCTTTACGTTTTCTGGTTTTACCAAACCATCTTAAAGTAACTGACCAAATGTCATCAGCCTACACAAAGATCTGATTACCAACTTTGCAAATTTTTTTTTTCCGCCTTTGCTGGGTCTGTCAGAATTGTGGGGGATTGAGGATTGGGCTTGTAAGGATCGGGTACTTAATCCTCTTCTCCCATATTGACACACTGATGCTTACCTGAAAATAAGGTAGCATCTGCTTCCTCACCTTACCTGGTCATTTCTGTTTAATCCTCTCCTCACCCTGTCCCTTCTACTTTCATTGAGTGTAGAGTCATTCCAGGTAGATTCATTTTTACATGGTTACTGTTGTCTGTTTACCTGCTCTCACTCAGAATGTGTCTTGGTGAGAGGACGGGGAGGGGAGGCTTGCTGGGGGAGGGAAGCGGAATCTGATCATGTTGGAAGGTTTGTGATGAGACCTGGAGCTTTCCTGGAGTGGGGGGAATAAGGGGTGGTCACCACAGATTGGGGGTCAGGGCAGTTCATAAAGAAGCCCATTCTCAGTGTTGCCTGTCCAGAGTTTTGCTGCTGACTATAGAGTGGAAGATTGGCATTGTAGCATCTTATGTGATCTCCAGAAGGAGGGCAGACCTGGTGCATGAGGTATTCTTGGCAAATTACTAGTTTCCATGCTGTAGCTCTAGCCTTTCTTTCTCCAGGCTCTCTAGGACTTGGTACTTCCCTTTCTTCTGTCACCTCACTCATTTCACTTCTTCTCTACAGATTCAGGTTATTGAGGATGACAGGAACAACCGGGGTTCAGAGCCATTTGTTACTGGAGTACGGGGACAGGTGCCACCCTTAGTCACCACCAACTTCCTGGTGAAAGACCAAGGTAAGAAGAGTATTAATTCCTCCTTGGAGGGCTTTTTGTCCTTATGGATAAGCTTTTGTCAGTTTTTTTTTTTTTTAAGATTTATTTTATTTATTTGACAGAGAGAAGTGGGGGGAGTGCGCACAGGGGGAGGGGCAGAGGGAGAGGGAGAGAATCTCAAGCAGACTTCGCCCAACATGGAGCCCAACGTGGGGCTTGACTGTGAGATCATGACCTGCGCTGAAATCAAGAGTTGGATGCTTAACCAACTGAGCCACCCAGGCACCCTACTTTTGTCAGTCTTTAATTAGAGACCAGTCCCTCCTTGGTCTCTAGGGGAAAAGCCGCCATCAGCTCTAGCATTTGTTGGGGTGGTGGGGTGGATCAGCAATGGAGAGCTGGTGTCTGGAGGGATTCTTTGATCTGACTCCGGTTTTCTACCTCCTCTAGGGAATGCAAGTCCCCGATACATCCGATGCACATCCTATAATATCCCTTGCACATCTGACATGGCTAAGCAGGCTCAGGTGCCCCTGGCAGCTGTCATCAAACCACTGGCAAGGCTGCCTCCAGAGGAGGTAAGTCAGGAAGGGACTAGAGTATAATGAAAGGGAGGAAGAGAGAGGGAGTAAGACTTCTTCCTAGAAATGATTCTGGCAGTCATAATGGAAGAAGTCTTGGTTGGGCGGGAAGGGAGAGTATCTTCAATAGCTTTCTACCCCAGGGCCCATGCCTGATGGGCATGGTTGGGATGAAGGGAAAAGCCCAAGAAATTGTTGGATGGGAGCAGGGTCCATATGGGAAACAAACTATGAAAAGAGGTAGGGCCAACTTATAGGGGAGGAGACGGCCGGATGCAGAAGCCTCTCGTAGCATGGTCATCTCCAGATGATTACAGATACATTATCCTGTTTTTCTTCTGTACTGTCTATCATCCCAGGTAAGTTAGGGAATGTTAGGACAGCATATAAGAAAAAAAGGTAGATTAGGGTCCAATAGTCCATCTCTTACCTGACTTGGGCCCTGATTTATCACCTCAATACCTGAAATCAGCATGCAAAGAGAGAGCGAGCTTGTCAGCTGCTCTTCCAGGCTTTGGCACGTTTATGCCTAGCTTACTGAATTTAGGGTGGATTTCTCTATAACTGGAAGCTCAAGACTCAGTTTACATCCTGCCTCTCTCTGTCTTGCTCTGTGTTTTTTTCTCTCTGGGTCTCAGCGGGGATGGTTAGACACTTGGCTTCTGATCTCTTATATGTAGGATGACATCTGCTTGGGACATTGGTAGGTGTCACAGAAACCCAGGGATGGGGGAGGATCAGTGTTATAGATACTTGGCTGGGGAAGGAAGCAGAGTTAAGATCCCTAGGGTAAGATAAGAATGAAGAGGATTGAAGATAGGGCCAGGAATGAGAATCCTAGGTAATCTTTGGCTTTCTCCTTTTATGTCTATGGCAGCCCCTGATTTGGTAGGGCCACTTACACCGTTCTTTTCTTTCAAAAAAGTGGAATTCTGGAGACAAGGAGTAAGGAGAGGGAACTATAGAATTTGGACTCTTAGGGACATTCCTGTGACCAGTACCCTCATCATTTATCTTCATTCCCCTTCACTGTCCTACCCCCTCTGGCAAAATATCTTAGCCATGCCCTCCTCCCTCCAGGTTGTTGCTCTTCACCTATTGCCACATGTCTCAACCCACTGTAGCTTTCCTTTGTCTGAGCCCCTCCCCTTTGCTCCTTAGGCTTCACCGTATGTTGTGGACCATGGGGAATCTGGCCCTTTGCGCTGCAATCGCTGCAAAGCATATATGTGTCCCTTCATGCAGTTCGTTGAGGGAGGGAGGCGCTTCCAGTGCTGCTTTTGCAGTTGTATCAATGATGGTATGTTCACTGTGGCTGGGATTGGGGGGATGTTCTTCTGTATTGCATCTTCATTGTTCTCTTTCTAGTGAGATAGGTGAGGTTCCCTTATTCAGGAACTGGGGAAGTAGGGCACAGATGGGGATGTGGGGCAGTAGAGTGAGCTCAGCCAGAGCCAGACTTACTAAGATTGAGAGTGGATGTTCGAGTAATACTCTGTCATGCTCCCCACAGTTCCCCCCCAGTATTTTCAACATCTGGATCATACTGGCAAACGTGTGGATGCCTATGACCGTCCGGAGTTATCCCTGGGCTCGTATGAATTCTTGGCCACTGTAGATTACTGCAAGGTAAGGGAAAGTAGCATGGGGAGGAGTGGTGGGTATCTTTTCATTGTCTCCTCTTTCACTGTCCCCTTTGATGTTGACTTCTCTCTAGTCATTTAGCCTGCTTACCAATACCCCTCTCTCCCCCAACGTTTCCTTCCTTTGCAGAACAATAAGTTCCCCAGCCCTCCTGCCTTCATCTTCATGATTGATGTCTCCTACAATGCCATCAGGAGTGGTCTTGTTAGGCTCCTCTGTGAGGAGCTCAAGTCACTGTTAGACTTTCTACCTAGGTGAGACCTACGGAGACAAGGTGCTTCCCTTGGATAATCGCTGGGGTGGGGGTGGTTCTGGGTTGTTGACTCAATAGGTAGAGCTTGAGGTCATGAAGCTGGCTGGTGGAGAAGGGGGCAAGTATGGGTAATGATGTTACCTTCTACAGGGAGGGCGGAGCAGAAGAGTCAGCAATCCGAGTTGGCTTTGTCACCTATAATAAGGTGCTCCACTTCTACAATGTGAAGAGCTCCTTGGCCCAGCCACAGATGTTGGTTGTATCTGATGTGGCTGACATGTTTGTGCCACTGCTGGATGGCTTCCTTGTCAATGTCAGTGAGTCTCGGGCAGTCATCACCAGGTAAGAGCCAGATTGTAGAGGTAAAGTGGGAGTGGGGCAGAAACCATCACAGAAAGCCAGACAGTTGAGCAGAGGGGTCAGCAGATGGACAGGGACTGTGCCTCAGGAGTTTTCAATCTAGGGGGCCACATGATTCTTCGGAGAATTAAGGCCTGAGGAATCGAGTCTGGATAGCAGTTTTGATTGCTTCCCATCACCTATCTCTTCAGCTTATTGGATCAGATTCCTGAAATGTTTGCAGACACGAGGGAGACAGAGACAGTATTTGCCCCAGTTATCCAGGCTGGGATGGAGGCTCTAAAGGTACGGCTAGAACCCTGACAACTTCCTCTGCCTCGCTTTCCTCTGACCGTCTTGTACCCTGGGATAGAACTCCTGTTTCTTTAGTGATTGAAGACTGTCCAGTGAGTCAGCATATCTGACATAACTGGCACTGAATAAATGACGAGGGAAGGGATGAATGAATAATAGCTGAATAAAGGAAAGAATGAACAAGTAGTCCTCTCTTTCCTAGGCTGCTGAGTGTGCAGGGAAGCTGTTTCTGTTCCATACCTCCCTGCCCATTGCAGAGGCCCCAGGGAAACTGAAGAACAGAGACGACAGGAAGTTGATCAACACAGACAAGGAGAAGGTGTGGGTTTGGGAGATGGGGGGAGGACTTTCCATGACAGAGGAAGGTGCTCATTCTTGCAATGCAATGCAATACTCTTAACTTGCTTGAAGAGGTACTGGAACTAGACACTCTGCTCTTTCACATGTCAAGTCCATGACTGCCAACTTTCTTCAGTGCTCCCACACATCTCTACCCCATTTCATCCCAAAGCCCGGGACAGATTCTTTTTTTTTTAGAGAATGTTCTACTACTGTTGGAAATACCTATGAAGTAGATCTGAAGTCTTACATATATTTGAATATCCCATATTAAATATATAGTTCTCGGGGTGCCTGGGTGGCTCAGTTGGTTAAGCGACTGCCTTCGGCTCAGGTCATGATCCTGGAGTCCCAGGATCAAGTCCCACATCGGGCTTCCTGCTCGGCAGGAAATCTGCTTCTCCCTCTGACCCTCTCCCCTCTCATGCTCTCTCTCACTCTCTCTCTCTCAAATGGATAAATAAAATC